CGTCGCCCTGGCCGCCGCCGTATAAGGGCGGTGTCGGGCGGAGGCGCGCTGACGTGTCGCCGTCCGCTGGGGCTCCTGCAGTGGCCGCCGTGCCTGTAGATACGATCTGGCCGACGGAGGGCCGTCGGTAGACCAGTCGGGCCGGTCCCGCCGCCGGCGGACCGCCGGCAGACCCCGCCGGCCGGCTGTCTGCAGAGGGTGGTGCTGGCACGCGGCACCAGCTAACTAGCTGATGCTGGTGCTAGTGCCTGGTTTGGTGCTGGTGTCTATCAGCGTCTCATGAGAGGCCAGCCACGGCCTGCCCAGTTCGAACTCTTGGGATAGTTAACTCGCTGAACAGATATGGTATCTTCTTTCGTCTTATCCGATCTGATTTTTGCCCTTGCTTCTCCTACCACTTTGAAGACCGATTTATTTCAGTTGATTTGCCCTCCTTCTATGCGCCTTCCCTGCCATCTGCCGGTGACCCGACTGCCACCGTCCCGTCCCATCCCATCTGACGACGTGGGCGGGACGGGGGCGGCCAGCACGCGAGCCACCGGCAGCTGCCGAATGGCGTGGGTTGACCCACCGGTCCTGCGAGTGTGGACCACCAGGCCAGTCGCTGCGGTATCGCCACATGTCCCAGAGTCATATCAAGTGAATGCATCGCATTCTGGTCAGCCGCTACCGCACCAAAAGGGGGCACGGGTGGGACGCAATGTGGGCTATGGTCTGTCGCACGACGTTTTGACCAAAATGGGGAGGAAAGAAAAGAACGTGCGAGAGAGAGAGAGAGAGAGAGAGAGAGAGAGAGAGAGAGAGAGAGAGAGAGAGAGAGAGAGAGAGAGAGAGACCGGAGAGAGCGATATGTGTGCGTTTCCCTGAAGTGGCTGTCTCAGTAGCGTCTCCATCTCATCAGTCACCCAGTGTTAGCTAACCTCTGCGGCACGGCGCGGCCCTCTGAAAGGCGCGGCGTGTGCGCGGAATTGGGGCCGGTATATCGGGACACTGTCGGCGCTCGGAGCCGTGCCGGCGCCGCTGCTCCATGTGTCACTGTCTGGCCCGAGTCGGCGGGCCGCTCCGGACGCTGCACGACGACACCATGTATGGCGGCTCGGTGGGTTCTCGGCCGATCTGGACGGAGCGCGGAGGCCCGGCAGTGAGCCGATGTATGGCGTCGGGGCCATGTTGGGCTGTTTGTGCTGCTGATACCGTGGGCGGGCCGGTCAGTGGTGAGACTGCAGTGGGCGGCGCGACCGACGCCGTGAGCTCACAGAGCTGAGCTGTGGCTGGCTGAGGCGGTACGCTGGATGTTTCCTGATGAGCTCCTGGCTGGGGCCGCCGGGAGAGCGCGGTGGGGCCTCTCGCAGCGTCGGCTACTCGTGCTCTGTCTACCATGATGCTGCTGGTCCGATCTTAGTCAGAACATAACCACTCTTCATTCTCCTGCTATCCTCTGTCTCTTATTAAACGTCATGCCGCCCGTTAGCCGTTCGTTCGTGATCCTGTTTAGAGTTGTTACTGCCATCACTTCACTCTCATCTGATACAACTGTTCACTGTATCCTCTTTCAAGACAGAGACGTATTGTCTCTTTCTGTTCAATGAAGACGCATTTATCTTGTCTCTCTACCGGCTCGACGCACACATCCAGAGCTCCGCGGCCACCCAGATGACCGCACCGGACTGACACTTCATCCACCAGCCACGACCAATAGCACAGGTGGTAGCTTGAGGGCGCTGGAGGGCCGATATGCCCTGGATATGGGGAGAGGTCACAGAGGGGGAGGGGTCCGTCTGGAGGTCAGCAGTCTGGCTTACACTCCGTTAGAGCCCTGTGGAGCTGTGTGCACACAACGCCCCACACTGCAGACAAACGGGTGATGGATGCACGCTTCTATCGTCTGACTGCACCCAGCCAGGAAGAAGTGACTCGTCAAAGACGAGCGTTGTTGATGGAGCATAATGCGGGCGTGGGCGCTCGCCCGACCTTGGCGCCCGCTGTTTGCGAGTCGCGGACGACGACGATAGTCTGTTCGGAGCGTTGTTGATGCGTCGCGCCGCCATTTCAGTCGCTGATGGATCTCCGCGCCGCGCCGCAGCCACATCAGCGTCTGTCGGTCCGAATTAACCACCAGACGAGTTAGGAGATGGAGAGGCCGCCGCGCGACGGCGAATGGCGTGTCGCCGAGGTGGGCGGGCAGAGCGGCCTGGCAACTGAGAGTTAGCGGGCGGGCCGTTTGGCCGCACCGGCCGTGCGTGGGTTTATGTTGTGGGTGGGCCGCCCCGACTTCGCCTCAGCCTGTCGCGGCGGCTGGATTCGGTCGGTGGATCATTTGACTGCTCTGTGAGTCGGCGGCGGCCGCACCTGTGTCGGGAGGAGTCCGCACGCCGCCGGTGCCGCCCCGCCGCGCCGAGCCCGTTCGACAGTCAGCTGTGGGGGTGCGGTACCGGTCTGCCGGGGGCGATGGCTGGCGACTGACGGTCGTGGCAGCTCCGGAGCCAGCCGCCGGAGCTGCCGCAGCCTCGGAGTCGGCCCGGAGGGGAGGGGGTGCTCCGTCTGGCGTGACGCCCACGCGGCGCCGCCGGCAGAGCCTTATCCAGGCGGTATTCATGTGCGCCGCCGGGCCGGACCGAGCACGACCGAAAGACATGCACACTGCACAGGGGGGGGGGGGGGGAGTGCCAACGGCCGCCCCCGTCCCCCGTCCAGTCCTCGTCGGCTGCCGCTTGTCTAGCGTCTAGCGACCCACTATGGCCAGCTTTGCCAAGCTCAGCTCCGCTCAGCTCTGTTCAGCTAAGCTCATCTCCATTTCTCCACTGAGCGTCGCACTATCCCGGCGTCAGTACCTACCGCTGCCTTCTCGTGTCTTCCCGACTGCGTGACCTTGTCAAATTCAGATGAGCGCCGCCTCAGGTGCTCTCGGTGAGTCAGCGGCGCCGGGTGGGACGCGTCCTCGACGGCTGAGTGTGGGTGGATGTCTCCTCCGGGGCCGCACGGGCCGACCGGTGACGCTTGTTGGTGTGGCACGCCAACGCACGGCTGTTTGTTCCCATCAGGTGACATTCTGTATTGTGCGACACCTGGCAGCTCGGGGGCGGGTTTGGTTAGTGCTGAATAGCGCTGCTAGTACAGCAGCTGCTCCAGTGAGCCACATGCAGGTCATCGGTACCGTCATAGATTTTCTGGCAATTGTCTGATGTCACGCACTGTCTGGTCGAACCGAGCCGTTCTGGGGATGATTACGTAATGAAGTTGTTAGTGATCAAGTCGTAGACACGATTGAGTGAGGCCAAAGCTGTCTCCTGGCTCCCGCAGCATCGTCGGCGTCGATGCGATGCCCGTCGTCTGGCGACGAGACTCCCTGTTGGTGCTACCGACCGGTGCTGAGTCGCAGTCTCCAGTCAGAGCCCGCTGCCGGGCGTGGAGAGCAGCTCACTGCGCGTCCACGCAGACTAGCTCCGTCGCCGCCGCTGGCTGTTGGGAGGAGTCGACTCTGGACGGATAGAGCCGACTCCCACCCACACAGCGGCCGGCTGATCGGCTCCGGCCGACAGGATCTGTCCGACTGCGGATAGCAGAGACCGGCCGGCCGGCCCATAATCCAGGCATTCGGCGAATCACAGGGCGGAGTGGATGACACCTAAAGATGATTGAGAGTCCTGCGCCGACCTGGGCTGCGGTGGGCGTTGGGGATGGTGGGGAGGGCGTATAACGCGTTTGGGAATGAAACTTGAATGATACCATGTCGGTAGAGGCGAGGCCGTCATGAGAAGGCTCCAGGTAAAGTCGATTATTTTGTTTTCCACACACCGAATAAAAACTAACGTATACCCTCAGTGCAGTTACGAAATATGAAGAGACCGAATGTCTTCTGCTTCTTTTAGGCACCGGGAGACGAAGTATGTGTCCTGGAAAGGACAGTCCTGTCCATTTCTCGGATTTTGTCTCCGCTGCGTCTGTTGGACCGACGATTGTCCCAGATGCGCCCCGCCACGGCGGACGATAAGACATGCTGACGAGCGGCGACGCCATGAGAGATTGTATTCAGTCGTGACGTGTGCCGGGGAGGTGGCGAGCCGCGGGACGCCCACAGAATGTGCCGCGTCACTCCCACGCAGTTAGCGCTCTCTCCTCCCTCCACTCCTGTCCTCTTCTCACTCCCCGACTCTGCACGTGGAACTGAGAGGACACTTCCCAGAACTGCACCTCCTCTTTGAGTCAGTGTCTGCTACTGTGTCTCCAACAGTTTGACTTCGGTCTGTGGTGATTCTCCGAGCGATCTGGTCCCATTTCTCAAAAGTTGAGGTGAACGTCACCTCCACACGCCCCATCCCGTGTCCGGTGTCACCTTGCCGTGCCCTGCAGCAGCAGCCGCCCGGTTCACAAACATCTGCTCGGTGGCGCTCCGCACAGCTCAACTGCGTGCGCGTGTCGCGAGCACGACCGAGCCGGTTTTTGCTTGCTCCCTGATGCGCCTGTGTCCGGCACCGACCGTCCGGAATGTGTGATCTCATCTGTCATCGCTGACGGACGGCGTGTCGAGCCGACAGAGGAATGTGGAATGGTGCGGAGTGGGAGGGAGGGAGGTGGAATAGATTCGTTTGGATGTGACCTGACCTGCAGGGTCGTTGGTCGTTTGGAAGAGGTGGGAGCGAATAGACTCGCTTGGTCTTAGTCTCGCCTGCAGGACCGCTGGCCGCCTGGCAGATGTGAGGTTGTTCTGATTTAGTTTAATATGCGATCGGTGCTCTCCTGAAGGCGCGGCTGTCACTGCGCGTCCCGCCCCGTGGTCGTTTCGATAGTACCTGGTGAGCTGGGCCAATCTGCACGGCCCCAGTGCATGGGCGTGCCAGGAGGAGCCCGAGCATATCACAGGTGTCACGCGGCCAGCTCGGCTCGTCTGGAGAGGTCGGCCGGCGCGCGGCGGAGGCGACGGCCGGTGACGCGGCGCCGGCGCCGTCCCCGTTCGGGTAGCCGCCGCCGGGTCTCTCCGCATATGGCCATCTCGCCTGGAAGGGGGCGGGGCCGGCTGGCCGGGCGGCGGCGGCGGCGGCCCCCGCACCCAGCGCCAGCGCCCGCGCCGCGCCGTCGAGCCGCCAGTCCAGTCGTCCGCGCTCTCTAGTCGCGAACAGACGGTGCGTGGCCAGCTCCCGGCGGGAGCATACTGCGGTCGACCGGAGCGGACGGATCCGGAAGGCAGCTTACGCTTTCGTTTGGTGACGAGCGGTGTCTTGTTCTCCTCCATTAGGCCGCGTGTGCCCTGCGTGTGTGTGTCGCTGGTCTGTCAGTGTCAGTGTTGTGGTGTGTGTGTGTCGTCGGTGTCACTGTGTCGCGGCTGACCTCCGCTCTGTCTACCCGGCAGTGTGATGAGGTGCTCCCCGTCACTCTGAAGACATTCCGCACTGAGCTCAGTTCGGCACCCGCCGCCGCCACCGGCGCAGACATGGACAGCAGGAGGGTCGTCCGCACCGTCACCTCCCGCAGGTCAGTCCAGGTGATCGGCGCAGCCATCGTCAGCTGGGAGGGACGCACAGGGTGACCCGTGATCAGTTCATCGTCATTAGGTTACACACTAACAGGGCGATCTGTAATTTGGTGTCGGGACAATCAATTAACGGACTTTTCACTCGCTGAGATACTACAACACATTTACATATTTTAGGCAAACAGATTCATGATGTTCTTTGGCTTCGGCTCTATGAAATGTAAACGAACCATCATCATCAACAGCAGCCTACGCACCTGGGTTTGCACTTTCACCGTTCCATTACATCGTGTAATTTTGGATGGAAACTTGGCGGTCTTCTGTCAATACTTCGGCCAACGATGCGGTTCGCTGGATGAACTTATGAACTCCTATGCTAACATCGGTGACATTTCACTTTGTCAATCGGTTTATCAGCGTGTCACAGCAGAAATCGTCTGTGGCCTGACGCGGTGGTGACTCAGGGCTGACAGTGCTAGCCCGTGAAGTGTTTATGTTCAGAGTGGTCGGGTGGGTGGCTCGCCCGACCCGTCCAGCGCTGCTCTTGTCCCGCCCGTGCAATCTGCCACCCCACCCACTCCCGGGCTGGACCGTCTGTCACGCCCCAACCCGTCTCGGCTCGCGCCTTGCAGCGTCGCACCGGCTGACCGGTCCCTCAGCGATTTGCATACGGCAGCCATCTTGTCCACGCCTCTCCTCACCCATCCACCTCTCGCTCCCCTCTCTTTACTTCTCTCATCTCTGCTCCGCTCTCTGCTGCTCTCGTTTCCTCTGCTCCTCTTCTCCTTTTCACTCTACTCTTCTCCACCAGCCCACCCTGCTGTCTCCCATGATCCCATCCTTCCTCAATCTCTTTATCTCTTCTTCCCTCTCCCTGACCCCTGATGCCCTGGTTCCGTTGACTCGGTATACATAGCGTGTCGCCGGGTAGATCGGTCTGCCGACCCGTCGCCCTCTCTCTCTCTCTCTCTCTCTCTCTCTCTCTCTCTCTCTCTCTCTCTCTCTCTCTCTCTCTCTCGCTCTCTCGTCACCCTGGACTGTCCACCGTCCTTCGCTGCTTCTCCATACCCGGCCGCAGGACGGTCGCTCGTGCGCATCTCATCTGAAGTCTGACCTGACATCGGTCCGCCCGGCGCGCTGAGCAGAATAATGCCCGCTCCGCCACTCAGCATGTGCGATGTCCGAGCGATTGTCCGAGCCGATGTGGCGGCCGCGGCTCCGCGCCGCCGCTGTTGAGCCGCATTTCATCCATCACAAGTAGCGTCTGAGGAGGGGAGGAGAGGAGGTCACCTCTCTGTTTACCATCAGAAGTGAGTGGCGAGTGCGGGACGTTGAGGCGACGAGTATAGAAAACAAGAACAGACGACGGTGGCTCGCTCGGGGCGGGGCCGACTTGTTGCACCGGATGACGGCTGCGTCCCCCTCCCCCTTTCTGGGCGGACAGGCCGGCCGCCGGCCACCCCATCTCCCGGTGGCAGCCCTCGGATGCTTATCAGACGAGCGCTACACGCTAAAATCGCCACCGGATCAACGAGTTTATGTTGCGTAAGCTGCCGGGAATGTCCACCAGTTGATTGCCACGCCGCATTGTCTGAGTTGATCTCTTGATCGGATAGTGCACGCGCCACTGCTGTTCACGCAAATAGATGCGTTTTGAGCCGTCAGTCTGGTTGGTGTCTTATAGGCTACCGCATGCTTGGGCTGTTTCCTGGTTGGAACACCTGTGCGGTCGTTACTTCGGCCCACCTCGGCTGCCGCCCCCTGAAGTCTCGTGCCCGAATATGGGTGTGTCGCCTACGCTCCAGCCCTTACAGAGGACGTGCCCACGCCCTGCCGCCGCCCTCAGTTTACCGGTTTCAGTTTTCGCTTCACCGGGCGCCGCCCTTCTTGCTTCTCCGATGTCTGGCCCGCCCTTTTGGCTGTGTCTCCCCTCATGGTTATCCTTGCATCATGTCGGAAACAAGACAGCATCTGTCTGCGTGCTAGACTTAAAACCGCGGCCGGCAGTGTCACTTCATTGACTGGTAAGGTGGAATGCCCAGCCTCTCTGTCGAGCGTGATCTGCGGGGGTGTGCTGGAGTGGCCGGCAGCCCACCCTCCGAACTCCCCCAGGTCCGTGTCAGGGGCAGCCTGCAGCAGTCGGCCGGCCAAATCAGCAGCTCTGGCCGTGCTGACGGCCACAGAGGAGAGGCAGAGGTCGAACTGATCAGCCCGCCGTGCCGGTCGACCGGCCGCCCCCGCCGCCGGCTGCTGCCCCGGCCACCTCTCGGAGCTCGGCGGCACGTACGCGGTAATTGGTTCCGTGTCGGTCCGACCGCGCCGGGGGCCGCTTAGACAGACCTAATGAGCCACGCAAAGGCTGAAGGAGCACGGTCGCTCTCTCCTTCTCTTCTATCCCTCTTCCTCTCCGGGTTAGAGGCGGTGGCGGCGAGCACGCTCCGACAAACTCGGGGTTTGGGTGTGGGCGGGATGGACATCTGTCTCATTCTCTCTCCCTCTCCCTCTCCCTCCATCCCCTCTCTCTCTCTCTCTCTCTCTCTCTCTCTCTCTCTCTCTCTCTCTCTCATTCTCCACTCCCTCCTCTGTCACCCTCTCCGCCGGATAGAGGCTCCTCCCTGGGATGGGCTCTGCGCGCGTGGGTGCCGACGCCCGACAGCCCATCTGATGGCCCGTGTCACGTTGTCTGCACACCCAATGAAAGGCGGTCGACCCCTGAAAAACGTCGGCTTAACGCGGTGACGCCCCCCCCCCCCGCCCCCGCCCCCGCCGCCGCCCCCGCCCTGGGCAAAAAGTGGCAGCGCTGGTGGTGCGAGTCGACTCAGGCCGTACGGTCATCTGGCCAGGCGCCTGGTCACCTTTTTATCAACAGCATTCGGCTGGCTGGACGGTCACTTTCTCTTTTGTTGGCTCGAGTACTCGCCTCTTGTCGGAGCAAGGCGGTCAGACTAACCACATGCAGCTGCTTGAGATGCTGGGGGGATGTCGGCCGGAAAAAGTGGCGTAAGAACCGCTGGTTGTCTGGGTTCCTGCGGCGCATCACAGTTGACACGCGGAGCGTGGGAAAGGCGGCGTCTGGTGAAGAGCCGTGCCGGTCCGTTTGGCGGGATTCTGAATGTAGCGGTTGCTGCAGTTTTACGTTGGCTCGATGTCACGCCTAAATAGGCGAGGTTTCGCCAGCGTCTCTCAAGTTCTTAGCCCAGTATGCCGGTCTCATCCAGTGTCTGTGTTGTTTGCGTGTGGTTGAAAAGAACGCCGGCGAATACCCACTGTTGACTGAGCGATCATTAGGTGACTTATCCTTCCATACCTACTGATTGACGTCCATACGTTACCAGGGACGTCATCGATGACGTAATGCAATCTGGGCATCATCCCACGGCGGGTGACTCATCACGACGCCCTGTTCGCCGATGGGCGTTGGCCGGGAGACCATCTGCGTCTCTGTTGGCGGCGTGATTGGTATGTCAGCCCATGTTGTACCTTTGACCCGAGTTCCGCATAGCATGCCGGCAATGTGGTGTTTAGGGTAACAAGGGTCACCTGACCCGTGACCTCTGTGTCCGAGGTCGCGGCCTTGCCTGCCCGGAGCAGCACTGGGTGTGGCGACGGCTGTGACCGGTCGGGAGCGAGTAATCCGGTGTTCTGTCGGTCGGGTCTATATTCAGCCCTGATTGGTCACATGGAGCTCTTGGGATTTGACACCCGGTGTCTCGGGGGCTGTCAGTTCAGTGCCGCTGACAGGACGCGGGTGTTAGCTCAGTTCCAATATTGGTCATGACGTGGCGTGTCACTCCAGCGTCAGCAGGTATCTGTTCGGTGTCGCTGCCGGAGTCGGAGGCTCTGTTTAGTCGTGAATCACTGCTCAGTCCCGCGTGATGCATTAAAGATCAGCTCTGCTGCTCAGTCGATACATAGAAACGGTTGAATTATGCTGGCAGCCTTGGTCTGGGCCTTATATGGCCCGGATTTAGGACTGACCAGCTCATCAAAATGCCTGATGCAAAGCCGATCACTTCTTCTGGTACCTTAGCACCTCCATTGAAAGCACTTACTCGGCTGTCTCGTTTTCAATTTAGATCTAATCGTCTATCAATAAAAAGCGCCGCGCTGCAAGGCGGTTGGCCTTTTTCATCCTCCGCTAGTCAACTCATAGCGGCGACGCGGCTATGGAAGGTTAGGACCCTGCCCGGGCGCCACTGAACGTGACCGGAGCAAAGGGAGACGGGGGTCGGAGACAGATAAATCACCCCGCCGACAGACGCGGAGCAGACCCTGACTAGGGGTGGTGCGAAGGGGAGTGTAGGAACGGGCGCGCCGCTGGCAGCAGAGCCGAGAGGCGCGAACGGCAGTCGTCGACTGCGACGGACGGCGAGTGGAGCAGAGAGTGGGCGAGAAGTGAGCTAAGGAATCCGTGTGGAGTGCCAACGGCTACGAGGATTATCCGATCACGCACTCCTTAACGCCGACATGGCCGCCGGCGAGTGGAGCGGAGAGCGAGCGAGAAGGGAGCCAGGGAAGCTGTGGGGAGTACCAACGGCTACAAGGATTCTATGGTCAGGCACACTAACGCCGGCACGGCAGGTGAGGCGTATCGAGCACGGCTCGGGGGTACGTACAGCGGAGTGCGGTTCCTTGGCGGCGACACCACGAGGATGGTTGCCCGGCGACTGACGCGGCGCCACCATGAGGATGGTTCCCAGGCGACTGACGCGCATCTATTCAGAGGCATACTAAGCGCACACACAATCGTAAAGGAAACCGGGGAGCCTGGTAGGCACGCTTTGAAGGGTCGTGCAACGCGGCACCCCAACCTGCGACGCGATACACACAAAACACCTGGTTCCGGCCACCCTACAACTCATGCACACACATCAGGTCCGCCGCCGACCCCTCGGCTACTCTGCAACTGCAATGCGTCCGACGCCCCGGCTACTCCGCACTGCACATACATCAAGCCCGCTGCCGACGCCTCGGCTACTCTGCAACTCACGCACATAAA